TTTGCCGACGTCCATTCATGGGTGGAAGGCTAAGTTCGTCTTTGTGACCCTCGGCGATGCGGCGCTTTTTTCCTTCTATCAATCATTCAGGGATTTTTAACCTCCATTCCCCTACGAAGAATGCTACGATTGATATCCAAGTTAGGGAATTTTTATAGGGTGGGCCGAGGAGCATCAAAGAGTACATTACTGAGAACAAGATGGCAAACATCGGCTTTCTAAGGTACTATATCCCCGGAGAAGTGGATGATGGGTTCTGACAAAGGATGGAGTGTTCTTTTGAGGAGGCCGATGGACCCTGTGAGGGGGTTACTGCAGTGGCGAAAGATTGTTCCTCGTCTTGCCCAATCATCTTGTCTGTTTGTTATTATTTTGACTAACTGTTTGCCTTTTGCAGAGTTCGAGATGAGTCGTATGCTCTTCATGATTCAGGCCGCTAAGAAGATGGGAGCTGAAAGCCGCCAAAGGGTCAGAAGGGTCGTAGCAGCCTTAGGCCGATGGTGGCAAAGCAAAGTCTGATCCTGCCAAAAAGCCTCCTCCTTCTAAGAAGAAGAAGAAGAAGAGGTCTGAAGCCGATGAGGGTCAGAAGACCCTGGCCGAGAAGGGCTCTTTTGTGGCCGATGTTGTCCATGAGGCAGATGATGGAGACCATGGGGCCGATGCGGTCATGATTGAGGATTTGACTGTTGGTCCATCATCGGCTGCCCTTGTTTAGCCTCCCCTTCTTAATGTTGAGGCTCCCTCCACCAATGTTGGCTTCAACCGAGAGGTGGTCAAGGGGTTGTATGAAGTTGTTGGTTGCTACCCGCCGAAGGGTCGTGGCATCTTTAATGAGATCGTGAGCGGCCATGAGGTTGTCTCCCAAGCCATTCCTGATGAAGATCGCTCACACCTGGCCCGACTGAAGGGAGCTTGGCTGTACGACAAAGCGATGGACAACATTGTCACTGTTAGTAACACTTTTTTGTACTTAGCCATTTTTCTTTTCACTTCTGTTTTTCCTTCTAACGCCATGTGTGCTTCGTCGAGGGTGTCTTCCTGCTGATGGAACACCAGAAGAGACATGAGGAAGAGATTGCTCGGCTGAGGCAGATTGAAGAGAAGGCTACTTCAGCCAATGAAGCCCTAAAGAATCTGGATTGGCTGCGCGTTGTGTTTGATAACCTGAAGAAGAAGAAGAAGGCCGATGAAGCCGAGAAGGGAAGAATGAACTTCAGTTGAAGTTGGATGCTTCACTGAAGGCCCAAACCGAGGCGGGGCAGGCCCGTGGTGCCACTGTGATTCGTGCTCATGAGGCTGAAAGAGTTAAAGCTGTAGCTGAGGAGGCCATTGATGAGATTGTTGTGAAGTTCATGGCCAAAGGATGGAAGGTTGAAGAGAGGCATTCCTGGTTCTATGAGGTAGTTGCCACCGGGTTTGAGGACTGGACGAAGAATAGCCCCTCCCCAAGAGTTCTTGTAGAGGGAGATGAAGGTCTTTTATGACCCCGCCCAGTATCGCATCCAAAAGCTTATTTATAGGAGGCTTCACCGTCGGTTCCACAACATGAAACTCGTCGACTTGAATCTTCCGTGGAAGATGAATCACCGAAAGGCCGAGCTAGAGTTGCCACTAGAGCAAAGGCAGCTTCCTATTGCCAGCTGTGGTATCGACGGGGAGCCGTGGAGTGATGACGAGATGCTAGAGGATACAGCTGCTTCTAGGGCCGCTGACCAAGAGGGTTCCGAGGACGAAGAAGGTGGCGATGGCGATGCCCAGGGCAACGGAGGATGTAATGGTGACGAAGCCTATACTTCTATAATACTTTGTTTTTTATGGTTGTTGTGCCTTAGTGTAGAGGCCGTAGCCCCTATATTAGAACTAGTTATGTATACGCGCGATGCGCGAAGGGATAGTGCCCAATGTTCATTTTATGTGTAGACATTTGATTTTTTGATACAAGATCAATTAGTGTGCTACAATGACAAACTTAAGGGTGGGAATTTAGTGGAATATAGTTTCACTTCAAGTGGTTGGAAAAACTCATATTCGAAGTTATTATTTTTTATTAGAAGTATAATGAACAAGCTAAGCAAGATAAAATTGTGATTAATAATTAAAATGAACACATCTACTCCCAAACATTTAAGGTGAAATAGTTTGTTCCAGTAGACTAAAATACAAGATAAAATGCATAATGTAGGGTAGCAATTCAGATTTAAGAGATAACGGGAAAGTTGGTTTACTTTAGAAAATGTTATCAAATGGGTTAGATAGTATCCAATTTGAGAGATTGATTTGAGTTTGTGTGTAGACATTAGTTTTTGTAATAGTAGACTAAATAGTGTGGGTAAAATACATGGACAAATGCCCCGCTCGAGTTAAATCAATTCCTATCTATTGAGCTATCATCTACAAATTGTTTGAGCTTAAGTAAAATCTCCATATAAAAATAATCTTGAGATAAATTAACTCTTACTATGTACGTAGTATAAATTAACGGGTGTAACTTGATAGAGAAATATGCAGAAAATTTTGTGGCCAGAATAATCAACCTTAATCAAAATAACATCTTTGTAATAGACTAATTCGTAGTAGCTTTTAGAAAGAATAAACCTTTGACGAAGGATAGCTGTGAAGTAGCTACGGGAGTTGTGACATCTCTCAACTCTCAGAAATCTAGATTCAACCTTAAGATTGGAAACATGAACTATTCTTTTGTCACTTGAAAGTTGAAACACCTATCCACTGGATAGTAGGAGAAAAGGAAATATTAGAGATCTCAGCTCTGTTAATTTAACACCTCTCCTAGGCTCTTTTAATGGAAACAAGGTTCACACTAGATGTAACACTCAATAACCCGATCTTGAGCATTTCACGAGCCATGTATAGATTTCTAGTCAAACAATGTTTCCTTGGGAGCTTGGTGAGGTTAGGACACCGTTGGGAGCACCTGGTGATAGAAAGAATAAAATGGAAGTACGGTTTGAAGCCGGTGGTGAGACTGAGATGCGGGGATGGGGAGATGAAACAGATGGGAAATTGACGGAAATAAAACGGTAGCCGGTAGGTTTACTTCCTTTAAATACAGTACACATGGTAAAGCATCATGTACCACCCTTTTAAGCTAAATGATTACACCAACATTTTTTTCATCCCATAAATGCCCCAACTCTCATTGACTATTATAAGATTTTAAGATATCCTCCACAATCTCCTTATATAGTCGATATGACTTCATTGTGCCAATAGTCGCTCTAAAACCATTTAAAACAAACTTCTGATGTCAAAGATCTAAATTTCTGTTTACCTTTAGAAATTGTTTGGATACTTTATAGGACATGGGATAATTGTGACGCTCATCAAATGCAAAAACTGAATACTCATCAAATCCAACATATTTCAGACTTAATGTGGCTTTACATCTAACTTATTAGACACTCTTTTCCCATTTGTTGGGCAACCTTCAGAACCAACAACATTGGTTATACTAAATTTTGATATCTAACAAAAGCACTCATTGTACAAAAACAAAGATACAATTGTATCTTTTGAGTAAATATTTGTAAACAATGATTATTCATAGTAAAAAAAATCAACTATAACATAAATAATATGCTAGAGAAATTCATTAATTCTACGGAGTACTATTTAAAATGTCGTGGGCAAAAACATTACTTAGTAACTATCAACGAATATACTTGTGTTCAAATTTACATTTTAATAATTACACGTAAGTTATTGCAATGTAAACTTTGAATACAATTATAGCCACTAATAGTTACTAAGTAATATTTGTGTCCACAACTTTTTTTTTCTTGCTTTCAAAAAAAAACTATTAGTAATATTTACGAGAAAAAAAACCTATTTATTTGAATATTTACTATAGAAGTAATAGTTCAACAAAGGCTGTACAATAATAAATATATTTGAAAATCATTTTGGTAATGAACCATCAATATTGAAGACAATGAAAGTAAAAAAAAATAGATGTTTATATTTCGGGCAACTCACCACATGCATGGATCAACCCACTTAACCTGCAACTAGTGATGGACCCGGGCCGGGCCAAGGCCTGGTCGGGCCTCGGGTCTGGTAGAGGTCGGCCCGGGACCGGCCCGGGCTATGGCCGGTGCCGGTTCGGGCCGGGTCACGGTTCGGGCCACCCGCCAGGCCGGGCCGGGTCATATTTTTTTTAATTATTATAGATTATACAAATTCTTATTAAAAACAAAGTTCAAGTGCATTTATTTGAAATAGGAACTACATTTGAGAATTGAGAAAAAAATAACAATATGAAATACATTTTCTAATAAATATCAATTAAGATTTCCACCGCCACCGTTGGTTGTTGTTTTCCCTTTGTTACAGGACTTCATATGTTTTATTGGCATCCCATATTCGTGTGAACGCCCCAAGCTACACTCTTTCTTGCACCACTTGCAAGTTGTCCACCACAGTCCGGTCTTCGGGTCCTTCCACTTATCAAAATTGTTTTGCATAAGGGAAGATGTACTTTCCATCTTTAAAATGGTATATGTATAAGTAGGAATGTAGGATAATAAGAGAAGATGAAGATGAGGAAGAGTTGGAGAAGAGTTGGAGAAGAGGTGTAGAAAAATGTTAAAAAATAGATGTATTTATAGATGTTTTTGAACCCCACTCCCCACACCACCACCACCGGGACCCCCTGCCCCCCACCCAAACCCCAACGGCTATATAGCCGTTTGGGAGCTGTTTTTTTTTAATTTTTTAAATCTTTTTTTGGAAATTATACATATTGTAAAATAAGTTAATTAATTTAATGAATTAAGTAAAGCTATTTTTACTTAGAAGAGTGGTTTGATTTATAATTTACAAATGTTACAAAATAGGTGTATAAGTATTTAAACAAATTACATATTGTAAATGTATTTTTAATTTAAAAACAGCCTTTAGATTTTAGAAAAATAATTTTAAGTTGTAAGTTTGTAACCAATTAATTAATTTGGGAAGTGCTACATATGAAAAAATGAACGCATATTTATTTGAAATATGAAGTACAAGTTTACAAATTAATTTGAAGTACAAGTACAAATTTACAACTTTGAAATATGAAGACATGAAGTACAAGTTTACAATTTTGAAATTTGAAGTACAAAGACAAATTGATTTTAGAAGTGCTACAAAATACATTTTATAATAATTTCTAAAATACTAATCAATCGAAATCTCCGGCATAGGTAGAGCCACCATCAGTTGTTGAGTCATCCATAAATTCTTGTGATGGGGTGATGCTCATTTGTTGAGTTCTACATGCGGCCTTCAACCAATCGTGGTAGCATATAAGCGTCTCAAGAGACTCCGCGCTCAATCTCGATCTAGATGCCGTTAGGACGTTGCCGGCCGAACTAAATTCTTGTTCCACAGCAACTGTTGAAACCGGCATTGATAGTACTTGCTTAATTAACCATCCGTGCTAAAATCGGGAACATTCTTTCTTTTGACTTCCACCAGTTTAGAACGTCAAAGTCATCATTTTTATCAAAACAACTTCATATGTTAAATACAAAGTAATCTCATTCAATGCGCTTTGTTCAGTAATGTGAGTTGTTTTAGTTTAGATTGTTTTAGTTATAACATGGCATGCACAGCGTTGATGAAAAAATCTACCCATCAAAGTATTGACATCACACAATTCATGCAATCTAGGTATAGCAGCAGTATTATTAGTAGCATTATCGAAACCAATAGCAAACACTTTATCAATAGAATTATACTCAATTAAAATACGCTCAATTAAAATATAAATATGTTCAGCGGTGTGACGATCATTAAATTCACGAAAAGCAAGAACACGTTTATGCATATTCCAATCCTCATCAATATAATGTGCAGTCAGACCCAAATAATATAAATGATGAAAATCATCCTCCCATATGTCAGAACAAATAGTAGCACGCCCATCAAAGTTTGCAAAAAAATTTTGTAACCTTGCCTTTTCCGCTTTATAAAGCCTTATAATTTCTTTCTTAACAGATTTGCGACTATAACTTCTAAATTGAGGATTTAAACTACCTTGTGCATAATCTCTTAAAGCAAGACTTTCAGAAAACATATAAGGCAAATTTTCTTCACAAATTAAGTTAGTCATACCGGTCAAATTTTGTGCATCATTGTATGAGAAATTACCAAAAGGTTGAGAATTCGCAAACCTCGATATTTGAGTTTGTTTCCCCGTTCCGCCGCCTAATTTTGCATACTCCACGGGGTGCTTTGCCTTAAGATGCCTTGCGGCAGATCCGTATCCGCCGGAGGTCCCCAAGCTATAATTGTTGTTGCACCACTTGCAAGTAGCGTGCCAATAGCCGGTTTGTGTGTCCTTCCACTTATCAAAATTATTTTTCATTAGTTCAGATTTACTTTTTTATTACCGGTGGCGGTTTGGGATGAGGCAGACTCGTCGGCGTCGTGGCTGCCAGCACCCTCCTCCTCGACCGTCTCCGGTTCCATTTCCTCCGCATCTTCATCCTCAAGCTCCTCTTCGTCAATGGTCGTCGGGATTTGTTGTTGTTGTAGAAAGCGGTTATTATGTCGGGCTAATTCTTGTTGTAGTTGTTCTTCGGACATCGCATCTCCATCTCTCCTTTGGTAACCCGTTTCAAAATCATCTCGGCTTTGAGAGGAAGAGCCGGCAAGTTCTTTACCTTTGCGGGATTTCTTCCTCCCAATCTCGTTCCTTCGATTGCGCTCGAGGTTACCCAAATCAACCGAATATCTACCACCTTCCATCTTAAAAATATAACAAATATTAATTTGCAACAAATATAATAATGAATACAAAAGTAATGCAACTAATTAAAACTATTTTAATTAATACTTCAAACTAATTTAGTGCAAACTAGAATTAAAGTGTGACTCTAAAATTAAAATTCGAACCCGTTTCAATAGTATTTTTTAATAAATACTTAAAACTAACAAGTGTGACTTTAACTAAAATGTGAGTAATTAAATTATAGCAACTTTTCAAGTACTTTAATTTAGTGAAAACTACTTAAATAAAATGTTAAGTACTTTAATTAAATGATTGAACTACTATTTTCTTCGTTCAAATATAAATTGAAACTATTATAATGTGACTTTAACTATAATGACAATTAACTAGTTTTTTGAAGTAGAGTTGTTTTAGCAATTAATGGGAATACTAATTAACTAATTAACTAGTATAATGAAAAATGTAACAAGAATACTAATTAACTAGTATAATGAAAAATGTAACAAGAATACTAATTAACTAATTAACTAGTATAATGAAAAATGTAACAATTAGTGGGAATACTAAATAACTAATCAAGTAATGTTAATAAAAAATGTAAGTAATAAGACAAATGTATGAATGTGTATAGTAATTATTGGGAGTAAATGAGTAATAGAATGATTTTAAGTGATATTAATTAAAGTGTAACTAATATATAATATAATGTTTATAGTATATAATATATAAGTATACTACTATAAGATGAGTAATACACTTATATTTTATACTTTAATATATAAATTATATATTAAGTAGATGTAGAATGTATGTATTAAGTAGATAATTAATATATAAGTAGATATAATAATTGTATAAGAATTAAATATTAGAGTATAATGGAGAATTGGAGATTGGAGAATAAGAAAATAAGTATATATGAAATATAAGTAGAGAAGTAGATATTATTATGTATTAAGTATATACTAATAGTTTATAAAGTATATTTAATACTTTAATATATAAAGTACTAGTATATATTAAGTAGATGTAGTATGTATGTATGTATTAAGTAGATATAAATAGATAATAAGTAGAGATTAAGTAGATAAGAAATATAAGTAATATAGTATATGTATTTATAAGTAGATAATTAATATATAAGTAGATATAATAATTGTATAAGTATTAAATAGTAAAATAAAATATAATGGAGAATAAGAGAATTTGAGAAGATGAATATGGAGATGAATAGAGAGTAGGATTTAGGAAGAGTTGGAGAAGATGTGTGAAAAAATGTTTAAAATTAGGAGTATTTATAGGTTTTTTTTAACACCCACCCCCAAAAGCCCCGGACCCCCCCAGGTACCCACCCAACGGCTATATAGCCGTTTGGGAAGTGGGTCAACAGCCCAAAAGGGGTTTTAAAAAGAAATGATTTTTTTTTAAATGTGACCGTTAGGCCCGGACCCGGGCCCGACCCGGCCGGGCCGCCAAAAACTAGCCCCGAGCCCGGACCCGCCACCCCCACCGGTTCGGTGCCTGAACCGGACCCGGACCCGAGAACCGAGCCGGTTCCGGGCCCGCATAGTAGCGGGCCGGGCGGCCCGAACCGGGTCCATGACTACCTGCAACCCATGCAAGTTGACCCACGAAACCGGTGAGTTCATCGAGTTAAAAAATAACAACTCTAACCCACCGTGAAATGGGACACAATGGGTTAGCCCTACAGACTTCGACTCATTTTGAGAGCTCTATCCATAGTCGACCGAATTTTCTTTTAAACTCTGATTAACGAAATCATATAAAATTCATTTCCTCTACAATTTTAATAAAAACTCTAAGTACATATTTTGTCGTGCAGTGCACGGGTACACATACTAGTATCATATATAGAAAGGCAAAAAGATAAAGGACAAAAAGATTTTAGTAAAACAAAAAAAATATAGAAAGGCAAGGCAGTATATATTATTCACAAAAGATAGCTTCCAAATAGTCATCAATGTAAGCAAGGCATGGCCAGTGATCCGTTCTAATCCGGACAAGTGTTGAAGTATCACAAACCTCCATTTGAAACAGAAGATGAAATCTTGGTGGAAGGAATACAAGAATTTGAAAGCATCCCATGTTCCTGGTACTAGTGACTTGATGAATCACACTACCTCCTCCATCTTCATCCTCCTCATCCACATACTTGAGGTAAAGGGGCCCACCATCGATCCTCATTTCTCGTGTTGACACATCATCACTCAATGAACCCGATGTGATATTATCCTCCCAGACAATGTTCCAAATGACTTCCCCACCCTTCACGGCGTTAATAAGAGGTTCGCCTCTTATAGAAACAACAAAGGGCGCCAAACAACGCTCAACGGCTCGGATGACAGATCCAGCTGGAACTTCCAGAAGCTTTACTGATTGGGTCCCGCTGACTACAGCAACTCCTTTGCCTCCTCTCAACAAAAACATCTCCCGCCCGGTACAGGTTGGGGTTCCACACGCTTCCCACAAAGCGTTGTATAATTCAACATAGTAAGTAGGCACTACATCTCCGCTTATGTCATCAGGAAGGATGGCTTTGAGAAACATGTCCTCTATTCCCACCATGATATTACGAAGCTGCCCTTTGATGATCTGACCATTGACCGTGTTTGCTTCAATGAACACGTCAACAAGCCCGGGCACTGGGTCCCGGGGTTCCAATTCAATCACTACAGGAGCATTGAAGAATCCTTCTTCTTGCACCTCTACTGCTGGAACTATATCTAATGAATAACTTTTATTGGCGGAATAGGTTTGACCAAGAAGGAAAGGAACATGGTGTGACGGGATCGATCCATATGGGGAAGAAGAAGAAAAACTTAAAACAGTTGCATATATAGCAGGAGGAAGTTGATCCGATCCATTCGTAGTATTGGCATTCCATACGCGATTAAACGGTTCTGACTCAAACCATAACGAGCAATGTATTTTAATCTTGAGACCCGGCATGTATCTAAAATCAGGAATAGATGAAAAGTGTCTCCTCAATATTTCAACTATCTGAGAAATTTTGGAGTCCAAGACACGTAAAGGCTCTCGCTGCTGATTATTTGCTCTGTAGGTCTTTTCAGAGACTGTGTGATGATTAGTATTATTTATATCTACTTCCCATCTTGGCTCACTTATTGGTTCTACTAAATAAGAGGGTTTCTTGCTGTCAAAGCCCAGGATGGGTGGGAGTGACAAAGACCAAGATTGTTTAACCAACAGAGGAACCATGCGCTTCAAGTGGATATATGATGATATGTTCCTTGATTTCTTGAGGTCGCGGGGAAATTTAGGAGACTGGACAGTGAAAGATGTAGTGTGGGTAGAGGGGGATACACCAGGGAGATGGTCCCCACTGTTCAATATATCTCTGAGTTTCTTCCCTGGTATACAAATCAGCATCCGCAGGTAGATTCTGTGCAAGTACCAAACAATGAATTAGTGAATCATATCCTGTTATATGGAATTGGGACATGAGCATCTACCCCTTTAGTCACTTTTATCAACCATAACTCTAACTCTTACAGATAGGTGAGGTGTTGAAATAAAAAGTATAAGGCTATGCTTGGAACTTGAAAAATTGTAAGGAGAGGAGGGGGGTAGCACCAATAATGAAAATGCTTTCTTTTTGTATTGGGTTTACCTAGGAAAATAAAATCTGATTAAAAGTTTTAAAAGATTTGCATATATTTATATTTCTCAGTCTTTATTCAATATGTATATCTAAATAAAATGAGTTTGTTCATATATGAAATAAAATTTAGGAGACTGGACCCTAAGCGAAAAGAGGAAGGAAATAGGGAAAGAAAAGGATCTTCTTAAAGAAGTACCTTGCATTGTCACGGACCTCCAAATCTGGAAAATAAAGGCAAGTGAAAGCTAAAAGACGGGTTAGGCCAAGGAATAATTTAGAGCTTTGGTGATGCATAACCATTGTTCTGCAAATCCCAAGAACTTTACTCCCATGACACCAAGATCTCAACCCTGTATCTGGACCATGTTTGTCAACAAGAACTGCTATATACTTTGTAAGGAGCTCTAGCAATCCTCTTGGTGATACATTACTACTCTGGGAAATTTTTTCCAGCACCGGGAAGTAAGATCCCAAATTGTAGTCCAGTCTAAGTTTAGGAAGTAAATGTTTATCAAACGTCTCGAGTAGGCGTTCACCTAACAATTGGTGCTTATGGCATGCCAGTAATCTGTCAATGAAGGTGATAATAACAGGGACTATTCCTTTATATTCAGACATAGACGCTACCAGCGTTTTCTGCAATATCAAGGATATTTCATCTTATAAGCAACAACAAACTAGAAAAATAGATAATTTAACGAGTAATGATATTTACTTATTCAAGAAAGAAAAAAAAATGTGACTGCTATAAGTTCAGAAGGAAACGATGAAGAAACTGGGGTAAAAAGAGGTAAAGTCCACGACTCTTACCTTTCTTAATCATTTATTTTTGAGAAGGTGAAATGAAGTTTCCTTTTTATTTATTTCCAATGAGTAAAGTAGTAACCATAAAAAATGAGTAAAGTAGTAAATTACATATAACTTATTCTGAAAGTATTGTTTGAACTTTGAAGGACATCTTTAAAGATGAAATTAAACATCCAAGGAAAAAATCTTACACATAAGGAGATAAGGATATTATTCTGATACAGCTAAAGGTTACATGGCCTTATTTGTATAAAAAATTGAAGGTTTTGTGTTTACAGGTTTTGTCAGGTAGCTACTACGTAATTTCCCCAAGTAAAAAAGGCATTCCTCAGAGTCACATGCACCAAGGGGCAAGGGGATTATCAAGGAGAAATGTAGAGATAAGATAGGCCTTTAACTAAATTGAACAAGTATTCCTTCTGTCCCTAAATAATCTTCATACTTTCTTTTTTAGTACGTCCCAGAATTATCACCCATTTCCTTGTAAGGAAACCAATACGTAGTTCGTATTACTTCTCTCTTCTCTAAATAAACATCAACCCTACCTTTTTTAGTTTCTTAACCATTGT